TATAGGCTCGCGCCGGTCCGCAATCGTGAGAGTTTGTCGACCGAGACTTCAAGGAACCCCCGTTCTCGTTGATTTCAACGAGAGACTACCCCTCGCGCTTCCTGCAATCGAGAGCACATCATTTTCTAGCGCGCGCGCGCACAAACCTCTCTCACCCCGCTGAAACAAATACATAATTTCTCTCATGATCGTGTTCGTTCGTTTATTCCTCCCTCGTATCTCTCTTTCTCAAATCTCCCAAATTGAGTGAGAAAAAATCCGCGAGACACTTTGGTACAACTTTAAGCGTCGTCTTCGCTTTTCCTATCGCGCATGTGTGTGTGTGTGTGTGTGTATATATACTTGTACGCGTCACTCTGATCGGAACATGTACTGCAATCTTCGTGTTCGCCACTTAAATGTCTTAAGCAGAGAGTCACCTTAGATGCATCCTGCTACTCTGCGGAACCATTAAAGCTTCGTCCGACTTTGTGGCTCAGTCACACAAGTTATACAAAGTATTACCTGTCGATATTGCGCCGCACAATCGCACCGTGATGACAACCGTGATCTGGCCGAACTACATGCCACGTAACACATCGTCATCATCGTGCTCATTCGTTTCTGACTTGGTGACTTGCGGACGCGCGACATATGCATTCCAAGTACTTGTACTCCATGTGCATCACGCGCAAGGCATTGCTTATATCGACGATATCGAGGAGGTGTCCGAAGCCTTCTCGATTGACTGGATCGGACGACCGGCCGATATCTTTCACTATTACGTTGCACCAGCTACTGCCGCACAGGAGGAAAAGTCGATACACCGAAAGGCGACGAAACACTTTGATTGCGTAAATGAAGAAAGAATGTCGGCGAATACGCGTCTAGTTGTAAATGATTGTAAATGTCGCGAACGTTCATCGAACGAATGGAATTCGTTTTCAAAAAAAATAAAGAAAAGGAGGAAAAAAGAAAATCAGAGAGATCGCGTGCGAGAGAGAGAGAGAGAGAGAGAGAGCTTGCGCGAGACAACTGCAAACTTGGAGACACGCGTGCAATATCTGTATTATCATTCGCAAACTCCGATCTCACTCGACAGCCTTACGTTACCCGTTCGTGATATTCGCGCGTCCGCCAATTTCAACCATCGTGCGGACGATGACCCTTGAACTACTCGAAATTGGACACACGTTCGCGAGCGCTTCTTCACTCACAACAACAACGAGCGCTATCATCTCCCGAAGCATCGACCGTCCCTCCCAGGCCGCTCTGTCCAAACTAACAACATCGATATCGAGCACTGGAGGCTGGCCCCGCGACAGGTGCGCGCACATTTCCAGTTAAACGGAATCGAACCGGTCCGTCAGCTGGTGCACCACACGTATCGCACCACAAGACGTCACTAACTTTATCATTAATTGCCGCGCACGATGAATCGGCCGCCTCGAAGAGTCGCGCTACTACGAACGTATTGATGCTGACGGGTCCGCAGGTGCTCTTCCGCGGCGTTCGCATGAACGGGATAGCTCGAGCTTCAAGCTCGAAAGAGGGAGAGAGAGAGAGAGAGAGAGAGAGAGAGACAATGAGAGAACCAGCTGTTGTTTTTGCTCGTGTCGCCTACGCGCCGCTCGAAGGTCGTGTTAATCGTACGCGGTGACCCTAAACAGAGTCTCTCTCTCTCTCTCTCTCTCTCTCTCTATGTGTGTGTGTGTGGTTGTGTGTGTGTGTGTGTGTGTGCGTACGTGCGCGCGCGCGCGCGCGCGCGCGTATATATGTGTATAAATCAGTTCGCGCGCGATACACGTCGATCGATGAATGACACACCAGCGCGATACATGGTCGATTCTCGGCAATCGATCCCGATATCTTTCGCCGGACCGAGGCTGACTCGACCGCCCTTGGAGTGACAATGATCTCGGCACGTTCGCATATCTCTGACCTCCGTCGAATCTCCGGTCGAATCCCGTACGAAAGTTCCTTGCGTAGATGCACACGGCATGGGGGATTCAATCGTCACGTGCCTCATACGCGCTTTCACGACCGTCTTTAAATACGTTATTCGCGATGGTTACGCGGTATCGCACGGCAACTGTAGCGCCGTATCCATCCAGTATTCTCGGAGAGCACTGTCACGGTCGTCACGAGACGCGCGCGCGCGTCTCCTCGCGCTGTACCTAATTAGCCCGCTGAATTAGCCGGCCGAATAATAACTTTCTCGTACCTTCGATCACTTTGTGCTCCGCGCGAAAGCTCGGCCCCATGGAGCGGCGAGCTCGTACGCTTTCGTGTCCAGCAGCGGAGGATTCACCCTCCGAGCGAGGGTGAAACGCGGTGTAAGAACGGCGGACCCGACACGTCGCCGTCGCGTCGCGTCGCATCGCGTCGCGGCGATCAGCGATCGTGTTGTCGGTCCCATTGTCCGTCCCATTGTTACACTTTCATGCGCGCAATTATATTGATGCGACCACATAAATTCAGGTTCATCCAGTTTGACTCAGTTGGACTCTCTCTCTCTCTCTCTCTCTCTCTCTCTCTCTCTCTCTCTCTCTCCCGCCCCTCTCTCTCCTCTCTCTTTCGTCTCTTCGACTCGTTCACTACCGCCCGTCCGGCACTCGCGAGGACAACCGTGCGTTCGCTCTTCCTCCTGTTTCTCTCTTTTCTTTCTGTTCGTTTTTCTCCTCTCTTAGCAGTCGGTGTCGTCCTCCTGGTGCCTCCTACGCAGCTCCAAGTAACGGTGCCGGGCGTCGCAGTAATGAAGTAGCGGTACCTAGACATCGGTCCCGGTACCCTCCTGGTAGCCCTCGTCGGGCGAGCTGCGCGTGGATCCCAGAACACGCTTGAGCGCTGATACCGGCGGCAGCACCGGGACACCCTTCTGCCAGACTCGCATCTGCTTCGCGCCGGGCGGAAATTGCTCAACGACCGGCGCCACCACCGCCACACCGAGTGTCTCCTTCGACGGGTACGCGCTCACCGAGACGCCGGATGTCCGGCAGGCGTCTCTGGCCTCCCACAGGCAGCTGGAGTAGAGCATCTTGCCGTCGTCCATCGTCTCAACGCGACCGTAATCGGCGACGCCGTAAGGTGTGATATCTTCGGCGGAACCGCGCCGAGTGTCCCTGATGATATCCGGGTTATCGATCGGCATCAAGGATGTGGTCGAGGAGAAACAGGCGCCCGCGGGCATCGCCACCGCGGGTTGACTCGGCTGATCGTCGAAACGGCTGATCGTGGCGTACTCGTTGTCCCGCACCACTGCCGCCTGCGGTCTTTGCACGTAGCTCAGGTGCAACGACGCGGGTGGCTTGGACTCCAATCCGAATGACGTAGTAGTCTCAATTTCCTCGTGCTTTCTGCGAGTGGTGGAGGTAGCGGACAACGGTGGGTTGTCGCCACCGCCGCCGCCGCCGCCGCCGCCGCCGCCGCCACCGGTGGCGGAGCCGCCGCCTCCGCCTCCGTTGCCGTTGCCGCCGCCGCCGCCGCCGCCGCTGCCGCCGCCACCGCCGCCACCGCCGCCGCCGGCGCCGTCAGCGGACGTCGCCTCCATCGGCATCGACGATTTCACGTCCTTGAGCGGCATTCTTCGCAGACGAATAAACAACACGAGAATGATGAGCAGTATGAAGAGAATGAGCACGACCAGCGCGGCTGATATGCCGGCGATTTGACCCGATCCTAAGGTCGACATGCCCGCGGTCCTCAGGGACACGTGTAGGGTGAAGTTGGCCTCGGCGCTGCCGGCTTGATTCTCCGCGACGCAGTAGAACTCGCTCGAGTCCGCCTCCTGGGCGTTGGTGAGGATCAGCGTGCTCCTCTTCCTGAACTGACCCTCCTCGAAGATGAGAATCTTCTGGTAGCTACTGAAGGCCGAATGATTGGTCAGCAAACGGCCGTTCCAGTACCACTTGACCCTCGGGGCCGGTATCGCGCTCACGCGACACACGATGCTGGCGTTCTCGCCGATGGTCGCCTCGGCGTAGCGGCTGGCTATCAACATGACCGGCCGGCAGGCGAAGTCGTCGACGCCGAGGTCGGTGAAGGCACGCTTGAGCAGCTGCTCGGGGCCATGGCAGACCGGTGCCACGAGGGTCGGCAGGTTGTGCTTCACCAGCCACATCTTCATCTCGCGCAAGTGGCAATTGCAGATCCACGGATTGTCGTGCAGCTCGATGCTGGTGAGCTTGTTGAGCGGCTCGAAGGTGCCCGGGTGCAGGGTGGAGAGCCGATTGTTGTTGAGTTTGAGGCTCTCGAGCAGGTCGAGCCCGCGGAAACCCTTCGACTCGATCTCGAGCAGCTGCGTGTGCGACAGGTCGAGCTTCACGAGATTCGGCGTGCTCTCGAAGGTGTGCGAGCGGATCTTCTCGAGGGGATTGTACGCGAGCACCAGGTCGCGCAGGAACGGCGTGTCCGTGAAGCTCGAGCTCGGCACCGCGGTCAGCAGATTGTTGCTCAGATCGAGCTCCACGAGATTCGTCAGACCGGCCAGTGCCTCGCTGTCGATCCGGTCGATACGGCACTCACGCAGGTAGAGACGCTGCAGATTTGTCAGGCTCACACGTACGAAGATGTTGCTCGGCAGGTGCCTGATGTCGTTGCCGCTCGTGTCCAGCACCTGGGTCTCCGGATCGATCCACTCTGGTATGCTGGTCAGGGCACGATCTACGCACTCCACCGTGCGCTTGCCGCTTTTCCACTTGCAGGAGCACTCGTCGGCACATTTGTCGCCCGCGCTGGCCGCCACGCCGAGCACCGTCACCGCCGCGTACAGCAGATACACCGCCGACAGCCCCATGACAGATCGTTATTATCGCCCCGTCTTTGTCTTTAACGAAGCGCTCGTCTCTCGCTCTCTCGCTCTCGCGCGCGAGCGAGCGAGCGAGCGAGCGAGCGCGCGCGCGCACGCACGCACGCACGCACGCACGCACGCACGTATCGACACCGCGCGAGATACACACGACACACACTCGGATTCTCTCGCGCGCGCCGAGAGCCGCGCTCCTCGCGACAACGACGACGAC